AAGAGAGAGAGAGAGAGAGAGAGAGAGAGAAGTAGAAGAAGATGAAAAAAATAAGTACCGTATTTCTTTGAAAGATTTACAATATCGTTTCAAGTGCACGAAATGGCTCTGAGACCAAGGACCCCATGAGAAATTCGGGAATAACAACGAAAGGAGTGTTTAGATAAGGCTTATCTGCTGATAATCACGAAACTTAACGATCTAATTGCCCCATTGCAGAAACTTTCGATTGAAGACGTTGGGTCGTTTTTGGCTACCTTCCGTTAACAACGCCAGACAGTATGATCGTTATGTGAAGTCATTCTTTGAGGTGTGCTTAAATACATACTCTTTTATTAGACTTTATATCTCAGTGTTAAGTTCAGTACAAACGCACGAGTAGGGATCTAGTCTTGAAGCAATGAAAAAGGAACTGAATACACTTCGTAGACAAAAGTTTCTCTCTTCTATTCTTCAAGGTCCTCATTTCATTTGTTCGGTTTTTCTTTGAAGATTTTTTGGTTGTTTTTTTCCCTCATTTTGTTTTTAGTTTTAACATGAGCTCAACAAGTAGCCTCCACCGACGTGAAACCATAAGAATCGCATCAAACGAAAATAACTTCCTATACTTCAATCACTATTAGCCTCTTTTTTCAGTTCCTTACCCATTCCCCCCATTCACTCATTCACATCGACTGAAGAAGGAGTATGGGTAGGAGAGGGAGGGGAAATGGGGTGTGGTCAATTTTTTTTTCCAGTCTTTATATTTGCCAGAGGTTCGAAAATCTACGGAAACGGTAAAGAGCCTTCCTAATTGAACCAAAAAGTAAAAATGTGTCATTTTGAAAGGGGTTGGGGAAACAACTTCAAATACTTCAATCCATATCAAGCAGACGGGTACACACGCACACGTGTAAATTTTACATGTTATAACACGTTTTGTTTTGCTTTCTCAAAAAAATAAAATCCAAACAAATTGAAAGGCAAAACAATTTGGTCGGTATGACTTCAGCTCACGTTTTCTTAATAAAAATTGTACTGTAGGCCAAAAGTATGCAGTCGTGTATCGCACTTCTACGCATTTTGATATCGCGATAAGCACTTTTGCTACCTGAGTAGGCTACGAGATGTTTCACTATCTCTGAACAGCCCAGACCGGGAGCAAGGAGTGGCCTGTGGCTTCTGGGTTTTGCTACATTTTCCAGTGCTGTAGTTTCGAACTTCTAAGGCTTTTTTTTTCAATTAAATATTTTTTACAAGTTTAATGATGACAGCACATACTAAATTTAAACCACCAAGATACGTGTGCATTTGATTTTTCTTTGAAAATTGCAATGTCATAGAGTGGAATGTAACAATATCGTGGGTTTTTTTTTAAAGCAACCCTTTTTTTTTTTTGCTCCCGGCTCTTAGTTTTTACATTTGTGTAAAGAGAAGCACATAGACATGTCAAATGTCGTTTACTTTAAAAGTCAAGACAGACAGGCGGAAGAAGAAAGGGAAAGTAAAGATGTAGGACCTTAAACTAGCGGCCTCTCCAGGGGCCTGCCCTAAATCCTAACAAAACATTATTTTTAATTAATGAGGGTGTTTTTATGCCCTCATCGACACACTTTAGATCTTATTATTTCAGGAGGCAGGCTTCGACCCTACTTCTCCAGGCCAACCCTGGCACGAGAGGAATACACAGTCCCAACAAAAAGACCAAGATACTCGATAAAGTTCTTTTCATACCACAATCGAGCCCTGGTCTTCTGCATGCGACGGCTATGAGCCTTCCCACTACGCCACAGATGCCTGTGCTGTCTTTTAAGATGTTATGAGTTATGCTATTGTTGACCATAATGTGAGAATTCACCAAAAAATTGCGTTCTGCATTTTGGTCCAGTTCGAAATTCGCATCAGAATGGGTTCTGATATCTCTCGCCTTCGGGAATATAGTTCTGTTCTGGTCGTCCGTTTCCGATATGGCCTTTTCTTTATATCTAGCAGAGAATTTATTTTGCCCTATTATTTTAAGTGAGGGGGGATTTGAAATGATTCCTCTCTGAGTACTTGGCCAAACTGCCAGATTATTTAGCGTTTATTACCACCAGAGGGTAATGAGTTCATTTGAAAAATCCCCCTTGTCCTTGAAAATGTCACGATAATATAGTTTTAAGACTTAAAGTCATACAGAAAGATAGATAGGCCAGCAAACAGACGGAGAAACAGACGGGTTTGTAAGAGAATAGTGTAGAAAAAACACAGTCATCACCAGAAGTTGATACGGAAACCTTGAGATAGTGACATTTTCAGCCACGGGATTGGCGGGGGCGACGAACAGGCGGGAAGGCGCCGAGACGTTACATTATCTGAGTCCAAAGTATTTCGACAAGAGCGCTTGACTGTGGGTGGAAAGACAGGGATCTCTCTCTCTCTCTCTCTCTCTCTCTCTCTCTCTCTCTCTCTCTCTCTCTCTCTCTCTCTCTCTCTCTCTCTCGTTTCTCTCTTTTTTTCTCTCGTTTTTTCTCTCGTTTTTTCTCTCGTTTTCTTTTTTTTCTTTCTCTCGCTTTCTTTTTTTCTTTCTCTCGTCTTCTTCTTCCTTTCTCACTCCTTCTTCATTTCTCTCTCCCCCAATATCTCTCGCCTTCTTTTCTCCCCCCCCCCCTCGGTCTCTCTCGGTCTCTCTCGGTATCTCTCTCCCCCTCCCCCCTCTCTCTCTCTCTCTCTCTCTCTCTCTCTCTCTCTCTCTCTCTCTCTCTCTCCTTACGAGGGTATTATGAACGCACATACGCAAGTGTGCATCCACGTGCAAGTATTTAAACATGTACGCGTTTGTGTATGCGTGTCTGTCTGCCAACTGCTTTTTTTCATCTCGAATAAAGATGACAATAGCAGATATAATGTAGTGGGATTGTCATTATTTTCTGATGACATCAAGTTCAAAAGTACTAATTTATGAATATAATTAATAAAAGAGTGGGCGAAGATTTTATTTTCTGGTTACTGGCTTTAACCAAGCACAGGCGCATGGAGTCTTCTAAAACAGACGTGTAGGCTATACCGTAATAAATCTGATTCGTCTAAAACACCCGCTTCACGGCCACTTGAGCAACAAAGAGGATCCAAAAATATGCCTTCCGGTCGCTCTCTGAATAAGCCTTTTCCGATACATCTCAAAGCATCAAAGGCACAAGGCCGACATACTGCGCAGTTTGTTTATTTAGTGGAATGGCAAGCCTCTCGACTCAAACTGAGAGCCCGCCATGAAGGACCACCATCGGGAAGCACGCTCAAGATGAAGCGAAACCACTTGAAGAAGCGACTGACGAAAACGTACTTAGTACCAACTTAGCCGGATATTCTTGTCGTATCTCTTTCTCTAATCTCCTCACTATCTCTATCATTTTCTAACGGGGTTTCGCGCGCTCAGCACCCGTCAGGAAAGATGTGGGCTCTTGGATTGTAGTAAGTCTCCCATATAAGGCTACTACGCATCCGCTCAGATACCCCCTCCCCCACGCTTTCCGCCCCTCTTTTCTTCTTCTCTGGTGTATCTTTTGCTTTCGCCCATACAGAAATCTCAGAGAAGGCGGGGCTGCGATTCGCGATCGGCGTGACTCGCGGCGCCAATTCCTATTCATCTGCGCTGGCCGAGTCAACGTGTCGAGAGAGGAGGGAGAGCTTCTCTTTGACTGAAGATTTGCCTTTTGTGTCTTGATCACAGAAATAAGGGGTTCCCCCCTTTGCACTACTAATTAAACTCGTCTAGAAAACATGTGTGAGACACGCCTTTTCTCAGCCTGTGAATGGTGTATGAATGGGCCTTCCTTATAAGGAACATGGTGTGGGCCCTTAACATGTGGTATACTGGGCCGGATATTTTTAGAAGTAGGATTTTCGTTTCAAAGCCCCAGCTGGCACTGATGACGTTAAAAATATACCTTTTTTTCTACGTCATAGTCATAGGACCCCGACATTCCTGTCGTGAGTGTGGTTACGGGGAGGGTATAAAAGATCTCGACGCCACGCATTTCGTCAGAACAACCGTGGCAAGAAGTTGAAGAACATAGATCTAGATCTAGAACTGAAGTGACTAAGATTGTTAGGAAAAGAGTACCAGTGATAGATAGATTTGTTGACACCACAGACAATTTTGCTTAAAACAAAGAGAGCTTTTTCCACGTATTCAATTCGCTAAGAGGACAAAACAAAGGATTACCTGAACAAGTTTATTCACTATACAAGACAACGAAATGGCTGGAATAATCAAGATTCTTCTTCTGGTGAGGCTTGCTGAAGTTATACCAAGCGGTGGATAGAACTTTTCTTGATTATGATAAATTAATTAGGTGTAGTCTATTAAATTTTCTTTTTAAAAATAAGTACAAAAGTAAGAAATAAAATAAAATAATATAAATAAATAAATAAATGAATAAGTAAATACATAAATAATAAGATCAGCATTTTTGTCTTCCTTTTCATTGTTATTTCTTTGTACTTCTTTAGTATAATGCTTGAAAATCGTCAATCATTTTCCTTAATCTAAGAAACCTATAGACCAAACATCCAACAAATGGGATACAGATTTCCCCCCGGGATGGTCACATCTTTTACTTTTAGCCTAGTGGAGCGTCTTTTTGCATGTACTACTGAACAGATTTGTTCTGTTTTTTAAAACGTAAGGCCAGGTTTATTTTTTGTGTTGCTTTAACTTTAAAGTCTCGGTCTTGGCAGTGAACGGGGGGTTACAAATAATCAAACCAAAATGTTCTGTGAACTCATCTAATAACACACACCCGTCTTTCTTCCAGACTCTCGCAGTTGCAACAGTAGCAAACTCCGCCCCGTCCCCTACCGTCCCCTCGTGTGGCCAGCCAGCCGATGTCGTCTTCATGGTTGACTCCTCCAGCTCCATCTGGCCCTATGATTTCAAAACGTTCGTCCTACCCTTCATCAAGAACGTGAGCTCTGTCTTCGATATCGGCCCCGGACCCCGCCAGACTAGGATTGGCGCTCTGACCTTTAGTACGGGCGTCAGACTGGAGTTTGATCTGAAGGATCACCAGAGCAAGGAGGGTCTTATGTCTGCCATCGACGGGATCGCTTCTCGCGGAGGATCAACCTATACCGATAAGGTAAGCATGATAGAGCCCTTTGTCCACCTATAAGATGTCTCCCGATTTACTACATCGGATCAGCAAGAAGAGGGCCGTTATACCGGCTAGATTTCTTGAAATGAATGCCAGCTTGAAACAACGTGATTCGATCGCCAAAAACCAGCAGTATTTAATTGCTTTTACGGGTCATATTTGTCTGAGCTCTATAGTTTGCAAAACAGTTTTTCTTTGTCATCTGGACTTCAATAAATTTACGTACTTTTTTTTAAGCTGACAGAGACATTAATATATATGAAATGCCATGCAAGTCAGTGACAACAGTCAATTCACTGCTTAAATAATTGTTAGATATTTTTGCAATCTAAAACAAACACGTGAACATTAAACAATATTCTTTTTGAAAAATAGAACACCACAGCCTTGCACAAATGTACCTTTTAAATTCTTTTAGGTGATCAAGGTTGTATCTGCTAATCTATTATTAGTATTATTAACATGCCATTGTTTCTTTACCCCTTTCTCACTCTTTCCTTTCACAAAATGGTCAGTATCGGACCGACGTTCCTTACAACATGAAGATTCTATGTAAATCTCGTTTCTATCAAACTCAGGCTCTGAAATTCGTGGATCGCCACATGTTCACGGCCAAGGCTGGAGCAAGGCCTGACGTCCCCCACATCATCATCGTCCTCACGGACGGCGACTCCTCCAACCACCGACGCACGGTCAGACAGGCCGAGAGGGCTCGCAATAATGGCGCCACCATCTTTGCCGTTGGAGTTGGTGACGTTGATGACAGAGAGCTGGAACTGATCGCTAGTTCACCGGCTGAGAGATTCAAGTTCAAAGTTACCGAATTTTCTTCCCTGGACAGGATCATGGTTGACCTGGCCATCAAGACATGTGGAGGTGAGAGCCGAAGCGGGGAGATCCTAAATTAAATAACGCTGACTTCTACTTCTAATTCTAGATACGAACGTAAAAAAAGGAAACTGACGATTAACACACTCGTGGCATTTACGCTTCAGTTGCACAAAAAGGGAAAATGCAATACGTATGATTATTAAGCAAAGGGCACATTTCTTTCTTAAATGTAAGGCCTATGGTTAATATGATAGCTTATTAATAATTTTTTACAATTTATAATAATAATAATTTATCAGTTTTTATTTCCTGCTTTTTTCCGCTTTGCAGCATACCTTGTATTGCATACCCGTCTCTAGAATCTCTTAAGAACATCCATAAATAACAGTTCTTTTCTTTTCATTTTCAGTATCTCTAACAACGACTACGACCACCACCACAACAACCCCCACAACCACAACACCAACGACAACAACCACAACACCCACAACAACGACAACTACAACAACAACGGAGGACCCAATGAATGGTAAGTACTTGTACCACGTTTGCGTTATCACTTAATCTGTAAAATGAATAATACTAGGCTATAGTTCAACAATTACAAGTTTGTAAGTGCACTAAATCATGAACTCTCACGCGCCAGGCTGCTGTTAAGATAAAACGAACCCATGGCATTCTTTAATGTCTTTGATATCTCTGCTATCTTTTTGGTGAACGTGGGGTCTTCCCGGAACTCACAAAAACTTTCAAAGATAATGTGTACATGTATCCTCCTACACTCTGAATACGTCTAGTGCAATCGTGACTTTAAAAAAGGATTGCATCAACGCATGATAGCCCGAATAATTCGGACCCCTAAAATTAAAAAAAACGCGCATTTTGTTTACTCTTGCTGCTGAATCATGAATACTCTTACACAACTTGAATACCGAAACAATACATTAACTTTTATGGCGAATGAGTGAAACGAGAGGTGTGCCAAGATAACGGCGATGCGGGCGATTAAAAAATCACCCCACATTAACATAACTAGCATAATTAAGGGATTAAAACAATAAAAATATTCATAATATGTAACGACGTTTGATAAGAACAATGTTTGTTTTCTTCATTCTCAGATTGTGGAGGCAAACCTGCCGACATTTTCTTCGTCGTGGACTCTTCAAGCAGCATCAGGCAAGTCGATTTCGAAAAGCGAGTTCTGGGGTTCCTGAGAGATGTCATCAAAGGTTTCAGCATTGGCAAAGACAAAACCCGCGTAGGGGTCATGACCTTCAGTGACACACCCCGTCTCGTGATCGGCCTGGATGATTACGTCACCAAAAAGTCTCTTTTGGCCGCTGTCACTCCTCGGGTTGTTCGCTACACTCTGGGGAAAACCAACACGGCCGCAGCCATCCGTGACGTCAGAAAATATGGCTTCCACGAGACCGTCAAACGCGGAAGTGACGTTGCGCGCATCGCTGTCGTCATCACTGATGGCAAATCATGGGACGAGGTGGAAACGAAGGAGCAGGCTCAGAAGTTGAGAGACACAGGCGTGACGGTCTACGCTATCGGGGTGGGCAAAGAAGTGAAGGAGGTTGAGCTGGAGAGCATCGCTAACTCCCCCATGGAGAATTTCGTCTTCAGTGTGGACGACTTCGCTGCGTTGTCCGAACTGAGAGGGGCACTGGCTGCCAAGACGTGCGCTGGCGATGACGAGATGCCTCTTTCCCAACCTCGTAAGTATTTTCATGTCGTACAATCCTCATTCTTACAGTCACAGATTTTTTGTTGTTAAGTTGAAATAAACGCCAACAATAATGATTTATCTTGTTTTCTGAATGCAAGCGTGAAGATTTTAATTCAAACCCTTGATGCAAATAAACTCGGCCTTCGAATACGAAAGAACCAGACGCAATATGAGGTATGAAAGGATATCCACCGGAATGAAATACGAAAAGCTTTGCGCATGGCATTTTCTGTTACTGATGTATTAATGTTAGCGTTAATGAGGTAATGTGTAAAGACAGGGAGAGAGAGAGAGAGAGAGAGAGAGAGAGAGAGAGAGAGAGAG